CTGCCCCTCCTCCTGGTCTGACTCGTTCGGGCTCCTCGTGGTGTGAGTCGTTCGAGGCCCGCGTCGTGGTGTGAGTCGTTCGGGCTCCTCGTGCTGTGAGTCGGAGGCCTCTTGGGGCGTCTTCGGCGCCTCGTGGGGCCTCTTGGGGACCTCTTGAGGGTATCTTGGGGGCCTCATGGAGGCCTCGTGGTGCCTCCTGGTGACCTCCTGTGGGCCATCTGGACCATCTGGGGACCTCTTGGGGCCATACGGTGGACCACTCACGCCCAAAGGGCTGGTGGGATCCCACCAGCCCTTTGGGCGTGAGTGGTTTAGAGAGCTCTCTCTGTCCTCAACCCCCCAACCCCTCCCCCTACCCCCTCCCCCTGGGCCTGGACAGGGCGTCCCGAGTGTTCTCAGGGGGGTCTTTTTCGACTCCTGGGAGTGCCAAAAAAACGACGACCCTCACGAGGATTCTGGCCCCGACGGGGGGGCTCTGAAAAAACCCTCTCCTCTTCTGTGAAGCCAACATCATTGATTTTACTACGGTTTCGGCCCCAGTTTGGCCTTCTGAGGGGGCAGCGCTCCTCTTCCTTCTTTTCAAAATCAATGATTTTACGAAGGTGTTGGGCTCATGTTGTCCTTCGCAGGGGCTCGCGCTCATTTGCGCTTCTGCGGAGGTCGCAAGAGGCCCCCAAGAGGCCCCACGATGCCTCCCAGAGGCTCCCAAGAGGCGTCCAAGAGGCTCCCAAGAGGCCCCCAAGAGGCCCCCGAGAGGCCCCAAGAGGCCCCCTAGAGGCCCCCAAGAGGCCCTACGAGGAGCCCGAACGACTGACACCAGGACGAGGGGCCCGAACGACTCACACCACGAAGAGCCCGAACGACTCACACCACAAGGAGGGGCCCGAACGACTCATACCAGGACGAGGCGCCCGACCGACTCACACCACGAGGACCCCGAACGACTCACACCACGACGCGGGCCTCGAACGACTCACACCACGAGGAGCCCGAACGAGTCACACCAGGAGGAGGGGCAGCGCTCATACAAGCTTCCCAAGAGAGCCCCCAGAGGTCATTGATTTTACTACGGTTTCGGCACCATTTTGCCCTTCTGAGGGGGCAGCGCTCCTCTTCCTTCTTCTCAAAATCATTGATTTTACGAAGGTTTTGGGCTCATTTTGTCCTTCGCAGGGGCTCGCGCTCATCTGCGCTTCTGCGGAGGTCGCAAGAGGCCCCCAAGAGGCCCCAAGATGCCTCCCAGAGGCTCCCAAGAGGCGTCCAAGAGGCCCCCAAGAGGCCCCCAAGAGGCCCCCAAGAGGCCCCCAAGAGGCCCCAAGAGGCCCCCTAGAGGCCCCCAAGAGGCCCCACGAGGAGCCCGAACGACTCACACCAGGACGAGGGGCCCGAACGACTCACACCACGAAGAGCCCGAACGACTCACACCACAAGGAGGGGCCCGAACGACTCATACCAGGACGAGGCGCCCGACCGACTCACACCACGAGGACCCCGAACGACTCACACCACGACGCGGGCCTCGAACGACTCACACCACGAGGAGCCCGAACGAGTCACACCAGGAGGAGGGGCAGCGCTCATACAAGCCCCCCAAGAGGGCCCCCAGAGGTCCACCGTATGGCCCCAAGAGGTCCCCAGATGGTCCAGATGGCCAACAGGAGGTCCCCAGGAGGCACCACGAGGCCTCCATGAGGCCCCCAAGATACCCTCAAGAGGCCCCCAAGAGGCCCCACGAGGCGCCGAAGACGCCCCAAGAGGCCTCCGACTCACATCACGAGGAGCCCGAACGACTCACACCACGACGCGGGCCTCCAACGACTCACACCACGAGGAGCCCGAACGAGTCAGACCAGGAGGAGGGGCAGCGCTCATACAAGCTTCCCAAGAGAGCTCTCTCTGTCCTCAACCCCCCAACCCCCCTTCTTCCCCTTCGGGGAGGGGTTTACCCCTCCCCCTCCCCCCTCCCCCTGGGCCTGGAGAGGGCGTCCCGCGGGTGGTTGGAGGGGTCTTTTTCGACTCCTGGGAGGGCCAAAAAACGACGACCTCACGAGGATTCTGGCCCCGTCGGGGGGGCCCAGAAAAAAAAAAACCTCTCCTCTTCTGTGAAGCCAAAATCATTGCTTTTACTACGGTTTCGGCCTCATTTTGGCCTTCTGAGGGGGCAGCGCTCCTCTTCCTTGTTCTCAGAATCATTGATTTTACAAAGGTTTTGGGCTCATTTTGTCCTTCTCAGGGGGCAGCGCTCATTTGCGCTTCTGAGGAGGTCGCAAGAGGCCCCAAGATGGCCCCAAGAGGCCCCCAGGAGGCTCCCAAGAGGCCTCCAAGAGGCCCCCAAGAGGCCCCCAAGAGGCCCCAAGAGGCCCCCAAGAGGCCCCCAAGAGGCCCCCAAGAGGCCCAAAGAGGCCCCAAGAGGCCCCCAAGAGGCCCCCAAGAGGCCCCCAAGAGGCCCCCAAGAGGCCCCAAGAGGCTCCAAGAGGCCCCCAAGAGGCCCCACGAGGAGCCCGAACGACTCACACCAGGACGAGGGGCCGAACGACTCACACCACGAAGAGCCCGAACGACTCACACCACAAGGAGGGGCCCGAACGACTCACACCAGGACGAGGCGCCCGAACGACTCACACCACGAGGAGCCCGAACGACTCACACCACGACGCGGGCCCCGAACGACTCACACCACGAGGAGCCGAACGAGTCACACCAGGAGGAGGGGCCCGAACGACTCACACCAGGACGAGGGGCCCGAACAACTCACACCACGAGAAGCCCGAACGACTCACACCAGGACGAAGAGCCCGAACGACTCACACCACGAAGAGCCCGAACGACTCACCCCAGGAAGAAGGGCCCGAACGACTCACACCAGGACGAGAAACCCCAAACGACTCAAACCACGAGGAGCGCTTTCTCTCCCTCCTCCTCCGCATCGTCCTTCTCCCGCTCCCCCCTCAAGGAGGATGTACAAGGAGGCGGGAAGAAGGAGGAACAGGGGAGATATGCGGGGCCAAGCGGACACACGCCTGAAAAAAACACGACTGTCGGCATGCTTCGCAAGAGTTGCTGCTGTGAGATGGGCTGGTGGGGATACGCGAAGCGTAAAGAATTCTTAGTGCATGTCTGGCTGAGACCGTCTTGTTTCAACACGTGTGGTTTATAGTCTAAGAAGCAGCCTCCTTCTAAGAAACCTTCCCCCCTCCCCTTACCCTTCTGTGAGCGCCGCCACGAGCAGGAAAAGGTACCGATACCGCCCTGGAGAGCCCTCGTCGCCACTGCGGGGTTCTCCTCGGGATCCTGGTCGGAACGCCCCCCGGGAGAGGTCCACAGAGCAGCGGCATCGGTGCTCTTTCGTCTCCCCCAAGTCGAGTAGCGACTCGCCTTTCTTCCGTTCTCGAAGGGTGTTAGCGCTTGCAGTTTTGTCTGAGCCTGCGTCCTTCCTGGTTTGGATCCCGAGTCTACCGTCACCATAGCGTGCTTTGCCAAATGAGGTTCTGTCCACCCCCGCTGGAAGTGGGCTCTGAAAGGGCGGTCTCTCGCAGGAGTGCCCGATAGCTTTCAGCAGCACGATGGCCTCATTCACATGGCTTCTCGCGTAGTCCACCAGCTCTTCAGGGTGCACGTGCGCAGGCAGGTCCGCCCTGACCCACCGCCAGTCGCCGCACCAGGGCTCAGATCGACAGCCGCTGCGAGGTTCAGGCTCAGTTGAAGGTGATGTCCCATCGACAGCGATCGATTCTCCAGTGTCGCCGAGCTGATGCACCTCCCAGTTCCCAGCTCTTTCCTCACTCTCCATTCCCTTTTCGAGCTCTTGCGCTATTGAGCCGATCTGTTGCGCCTGCCTTTGGGCCCGCTGCATTGCGTGCTCCTCGAGCTTCCTTGGCGCACGGGCGTGTCCTGCGCGTGACGTGCCATCCTGTCCTGACCAGGCACGGCGTTGGATCGGACTCGCGGTTAGTAGCGAGACTCTTCCCCCCCTCCCCCCTCTCCCATTCTCTCCCGTCGCCACCCCCCTGCCCTTCCCCTCCTCCCTCTCCCACCCCATCCCATCGCCATCCCCCTGCCCCTCCCCCCCCTCGCCCATCCCTTCTCCTCTCCCATCCTGGTGCGCCTCCCCTCGCCATCCCCTCCCCTCGCCATCTCCTGGCCAGCCCCTCCCCTCGCCATCCCCTCTCCTCGCCGTCCCTTACCCCCTCGCCCCTTCCCTCCATCGGGTGCGAGGGGTCGGATGTCCGATCTGGCTCGGGGGCACCTGTCTTGCCCTCCTTCCCCTGGGGTGGGTGGGTGGGCAGGAGACGGTTTGCGACGCGCGATGCCGAACGTTGGTGCCAAAGCCTAAAGGCTTCCTCTCGGCGCCCTCCAGGCCACAATTGGCCCTTGGTGCGGGCTGGAGCTCCCGCTGCGCTCCTCCGACGAGGCCAGAACCACCCGCTTTAAGTCGGGCATGCCCTTCTACAGGGGGAATCTGAAAACATGCTCAGACATAGCCTGGGGACGATTTGTGCGACTCCTTTTGACCCTTCCCTGAATCTGTTTGATGACACTTTTTTGAACATTTGTTGTTTTCCAGAATCCGCTGGTAGGAGGACATGCCCGACCAACACACCCCGCTTTCCGGCCTGTCCCCGGTCCGTCCCTGGCCCGCGCTTCTTTGCCGGCCCGCCCTGCGGTCGGAACAAGGGCGCCGCCGGCTGGAACTGCATCCTTCAGCCGTGTTTCCTGTTGCCTCTTGCTCTTCTGTGAGGGTGCGATTCTGATGCCCGACCGACACACCAGCTCCGAATATCGGGCCGGACGAAAGGGGGGGGGAATAGGGAAAAGGGGGGTTACGAAATCTGCTGTATGCAGCTGGTTTCGGCCCCGCCGCCAGGCCCATTCCTCGATACATGGGCGCCTCCCGGCGCCGGGAGGCGCCGGGAAAATCAGCTACGTGAGCTGATTCTCAAACCCCCCCTTTGCTATCCCCCCCTTTCGCCCGGCTAGAGAATCTGCGGCGCCCGCCCCAGGGGACACCCCGCTGCCCTACGCCGTGCCCGCGCCCCGGCGCGCGCGGGGCCGCCCCTCCGCCCGAGAGCGCGCCGTGCCTCGGCGCGCGCGGGGCCCGGCCAGCTCAGGCGCCTCTCTCGCGTCGTCGCCCGCTCGGGGGGGAGGAGGAGGCGGAGGAGGAGGAGGAGGCGGAGGCGGAGGCGGAGGAGGAGGAGGAGGAGGCGGAGGAGGTGGCGGAGGAGGAGGAGGGGGAGGAGGAGGAAGAGGGGGAGGCGGAGGAGGAGGCGCCGTTCAGCGGCCACGGTGGCTCTTGGACGCCCCCGATTCGTTGGCTCCTGGGGGTTCTCTCGCCTCGGGATGCTTTCCAGCGGCCGCGCCTCGTCGAGAGCTTTCCGGGGGTGCCGGGATCGTCCCGAACGGCTGCCGGAGGCCCGAGCGAGGACCCGGAAGCGACCTCGGGGGCAACGCTAGGGGAGGAGAGGCTCAGGGGGATGCGTCGACCCCCAGTTGCCCACTGATCGCCGATAGGGGCTCGATAGCCCGCCCCGCCCAGAAACGTGCGGGTTCGATACCGAGGGCCTATTGCCGACCTGTCGGCGGTGTGTCGTTGATTCTAGGTCGATGGCTCCCCTCCTGAGCTGGTCCTCCTGACGTTCCCCCTCAGCCGCGTCTTCCTCGTCTTGCTCTTCTTCCTCCGATGCTCTTTCGGCCAGGCCTGAGGATGCGGACATATCGCCCCAGAGCGAGCACTTCGGAATGCTCTTCTGTGCGTTCCGGGCCGGGGCCGCTCTGGAACGACCGCGGCGCCCGATGCCTCTTCCAGGCCCGCCGCCTCTCAGTGATTCGCGAGTTGTCCTCATCCGAGAGTGTCCTCATGATGCTTTCGTCTCACTCTTCAAGGGTGCCCTCGAGGGCGCGAAGTTATTCGCGCTTCGCGGTTCGGCTCCGATCCCTCCTCATCGTCCTCTTCTCCCCTGGGAGGCGGCGCGAGAGCGCGAAGCTATTCGCACTTCGCGCTTCGCGCAGCGCGAAGCGCGAAGTTGGGAGCCCCTTGCTCTTCCTTCTTGTCCATCCATCTCTCCTTGCACGTTATCCTCCTCCTGCTTGTCCTTTGTTATGATCCCTTTTCACATTCCTCCTGCTGCTCCTCCCGCCTTCCCTGGTCTTCCTGATTCCTCTTCCCCCTGCTGCTGCTGCTGCTGGTCCTCTTTATGCTCCTTCCTATCTCAGGCCTCGTTGGCTTCGTGCTGCTTGTTGTGATGTTTGTTTTGTGCGCTGCTTCCCGCTTTGGCCTTGCAGGGTGGGGGTGGGTATCTTCAAGCACCCTTCTCCAACGAGCAGGCTTCTCGATTTCCTTCCCGTCGCCACCAGATCGCCCTCCTGAGGCTTGGCCTGCCCATGCCGCACAGGGAGAAGAGGGAGCACGAGGAGATATTGCCAGCGTGGCTGCAGGATAATGTCATGCCCCTCTGGGATGTTTGCGGATGGTGCTTGCTTGCGCTGGAGGAGACGCAATCAGTTCTCGTATAATTGAATTGCAACGTGACGGTGGTGGGCGAGAGCATTGGGTGATGAGTGAGGTCATATGTTTTCTGGTCTCTCTCTCTCTACATCTATGTTATGTTTCTCCATGTTGTATCGTATCGCCCTCTGCTTTGCCCATCTGCACTCCGCCCTCAGCTCTCCACCTTCGACACCTTCGACGCACTCTCCGCTCTGGCCTCTACTTTCTGCTCTAGCCTCTCCCCTCTTCGCCTCCTGCTCTGCACTCTCTGCTCTGGTCTCTTTGCCCCATTCACCCGTGTCCATGCTCTGTTGTGTGTACCCATTACGCTCTACTCTCTGCCTTCGACCTTCTCTTGTTGGTATACCCATCTACGCTCTACCATCTACTCTGTACTTTCTCTCTCTCTCTCTCTCTCTCTTCCTCTCTTTCTCTCTATGTGTATATACACTCTCCGCTTGATGCCCAACCTCCATTGTCTGATCCCCATTTCTACTATCTCTCTATACTCTACCCCCACGAGACTTCCCACGCCGTCCTCCACCGTGCACTCTTCCACGGCTCGGTCTGCCTGTGCTTTGGGAGCCTCCCGAATCCCTGGGTGCAACCAGGGGGCCCACGTCCTCGGGCCCCCGGCGCGCTGGGGGGCCCGAGGACGCGGCCGCCTGCCGCGATAGGCGGCTGGCCCCCGCCACGTCCATGCAGCAACCGGGAGCCCGGGAGTCTGGCCGCCAGTCGAGCTTGGCGGCGGACTTCGAGCAGAGTCTCCAACTTCTGCTAGAACCTGCTCACTTCGAGCAGATTCTCCAACTTCTGCTAGAACCTGACCCCCGCCACGTCCATGCAGCAACAGGGAGCCCGGGAGTCTGGCCGCCTGCCGAGATGGGCGGTTGACCCCCTCCTCCCTCTCCTTATGTCGGGCCTGTCCCCCTACAGGGGGATTTTTGACGACAAATTAAGAGTACCCCAGAAATACCCCCAAAGAGGTCAAGACATACTCAAAAAATAGTCCCCAGACTATTTTTGGACTATTTTTTGATTTTTATTTTTCGTCGAAAATCGCCCTGTAGGGGGACAGGCCTGACTTAACCCTCTCCGCCGCCCCTTCCTCGCCCCCCCCCCTAATCCCACCAACCCTTGAGGGCATGAGTGGTTCAGCGGGTTTCCTCTTCCGACCCCCTTTTCCCACTCGGGGAGAGGCTCTGCCCCTCCCCTGGACCTGGGCTGGGCGTTTCGCGAAAGATTGGGGCGTCCAAGACGGCCTCGGCTTGAAAGCGAACATCAAAGGTTTGACTAAGGTGTTGGACAAATTGTGGACTTCAAGCAAAGTCTCCAACTCCTGCTAGAATTTGCTCAGCGCGAGCACGGTTTAAGGAGGCGTTGCGTGCGGTAGGCTCTGGGCCAGCAGTGATGAGGTTCGGGCACCGTGTGCACAGGAGTGGCGAGCTCCGTCGAACGCCGACGCATGTCATGCTCCAGGCTTCGCGCGGGGCGGACAGGCCGCGAGCGCAAGTCTTGCGGCCTCCACCCCCGTCTGCCCCCCCTCTCCCGTTTGGGGCTGGGCCAGAGAGCTTCGAAACCCGCATGCGAGGATGCTTCGCAACGGCGGCGCAACACCTGCCACTCCTCCCCTACTGTGCATGTGTTCTCCGTGAGATCAGCTGGGAGCACGGTGCCGGGAAACGCTGAAATCAGATGGGAGCTGTCATCCGTGAAACATCTGGCTGATCGTTTTTGTAATGTTGTTTTGAACGCGTGTGTCAATGCTGTGGGCAAACGTTGGGCTAAGTCATGCTACACGCAAGAGGGAGTTGGGAGGGACATTCTCAGTGCGTTCAACGTCTGAGATTAGCGCGTCGTGGAGCCACGTACAGTACGCGTGCCATGGCTGCTCTCATCCCTGACCACGCCTGCTCAGCCGATGCTTGGCTGCTGCATGTTCTTTGCCAGCGTTGAGATTTTCGCCGAGAGGCAACGACCCAGCGTGTTGATATTGGCTCAGCGAAGTCGGGCCCACTGTCCGATCCGCTGCGCACGTGGTGCCGTGTCGGGTTTGGTCTATCCGCTCGGCTCGTCTCGGGCCCTTTGCCCGCGCAGTGCCGCGCGGTGCCAGATTGTGACGCACGGTGCCGTGTCGAGTCCGTTGCCAGCGCGGTGTTTTGTAGTCCACTGCGGTGCTGTGTACCCTCCAGCTTGCGCATGGCGGACTTGGCATATGTTACACTTTGCACGATCGTGTGGAATGGCTAGGGGGAGGAACGGAGGATGAGGGGCGGGGAGGACGGTAAGACGTTCTCGTTCTGGAGATGTCCGTTATGAAGTCATCTCTCTGGAGCGATTTGTTGGTTGTCTGAGTATACGTCATTGGTCTGAGAGTGCGCGAGTCCGAACACGGGTGGCCGGGCATGAGTTTACCGCATTACTTGAAGCAGGAAAAAGATGCGACTGGGGATGACTGGATCGGAGGCTGAGTAAGTCTGGACGCGCCGTGCCTGCTATACGTCCGCGCCATGCCTGCTTCATCGCGGTGGTCACGGGTCTCTGAAAAAAGATTCGTCTATTGCGCCAGAACAGGCGTTTCGCTTGAGATGTCCAGACAGTCTGCATGCGAATGGGCCCGTGCAACGCCCCTGGTCGACCCTTTGCCCTGCGTGGATCAAATGCCATGCCTGCAGGGTGGTCATCAGGCTCTGAAGCGAGATTCGTCTGTTGGGCCCGAGCGCCGTTTGGTTTGAGAAATCCTCACTCCGAAAGCGAAGGGGCCAGTAGAACACACCTGGCCGACCCCCCCCCAAGATGGGTGGCTCTGAAGTACGACTCGCCTGTTGTGCCACAGCAGGCGTTTCGCCTGAGAAGTCCCATAGTCTGAATGCGAAGGGGCCCGTGCAACCTCCGGGTCGACACCACCTGGCGTGGTTCAAGAGCCATTCCTGCTATATCGCGGTGGTCATGTGGCTCTGCAGTGGAAGGATTAGAAGAGTTCCGCTGGAAGTGTCACCACTATCGGTGAGCCCGTGCAACACCGCGGGCCGACACCCCTCGAGTGGCTCAAGCGCCACGCCTTACACATCGCAGTGCTTCCGGGCCATGAAAGGCGAGTCGTCCATTGTGCCAAGCGGGCGCTTCGCTGGAGAGATCTCCAGAGTCTGAGTGCGAAAGAGCCCGTGCAAAACCCCGGATCGACATTCCTTTGCGTGGCGCAAGTGCAGTGCCTGCTACGTCGCGGTGGTCAAGAGGCTCTGACATTGGAGTCGTCGACTGTGCCAAAACAGTGGTGTCGTCTGAGATGCCCCCACAGACCGAATGCGAAGGGGCCCGTGCAAGCTTCTGGTCGACACCATCTGGCGTGGCTCAAGTGCCATTCTTTCCACATCGTGGTGATGATGGGGCTCTGATGTGAGATCCGTCTACTTGGCCAACACAGGCAGTTCGCCTGAGAGGACCCCACAATTTGTATGCGGACGGGCCCGTGCAACACGCTAGGTCGACACTCAGCTGCGTGGCTCAAATGCCATTTCTGCTACATCGCGGTGAATTTGGGACTGTTCAGAAAGATTTGCCGACTTGGCCACCACAGACATTTCGCATTTGAGGCCCTCAACAATCAGAATGTGAAGGGGCCCGTGCATCACCAGTCCCATTGAGAGTGGCTCTGAAAGAGCGAATTTGAGTCTACGTAGATGTGAACACGAGATGGGTGGATGTGAGCACAACTGGTATGGGGTATCAGTGGATATGCTCTTTTGTGTGTGCGAGTATGGGAGTATGGGTGAGTCTGAGTACGAGTAGGTTCCAGTGTGAATGAGTTTGAGTGTGAGTGAGCCCGGCTAGTGGTCAGTCTTAGCGTTAGTGGATCTGAGTGTGAGGAATGCTGAGTGTGATTGAGAAGGAGAGGCATGCGAGTCAGGAGGCGGAGCATCACACTGGTAACAGCAACGACGTACTTGAGGTGTTTGCCAGCGTGGATCCCAAACGGTGTGTTTCTAGCAACTTATCTTGTGCAGCCGACTTGTTTCCAACAAACGTTTCCTTGGGAAAGTCTCACGGTTAAGTATGCACAGATGCGCACAATGGCCGCATGACCTCATAGCCCCAAAGCTTAGTGAGCCCTGGAAACGACAGGGCCGTTTTTTTACCGGTTCCGTTTTGCCGTTTTTTTACCGGTTCCGACGCTGTTTTTTTACCGGTTTCGTCGCCGTTTTTTGACCGGTTCCGGCTCCGGTTCCAATCCTGGAGCCGTTTTTTTGCCGTTTCCGGTCGCCGTTTTTTGCCGTTTCCATTTTCAAGGGACATTTTTTTTGGAAACGGTGAAAAAACGGCCCTGCCGTTTCTGGGGCCCACAGCCCCAAAGTGGTATCGCTAGGGCCCCGGGCCACCGCCGATAACCTCCAAGCGAAACTGCGATGACCCCATGGCCCAACATGATCCCGACCTGGCACCTTGAGAGCCTTCTGCTGACTATGCGATGACCCGTCTGATGAGCAGCTGGCGATGCCGAGACGGCCCCAAGGTCAGAAGAAGGACCCGGGCACATCAAGGGCGACTCCAAACTGACCGATCGACGCCCGCACAATCCAAATATAACGCGAGTGCGATCTGAACACGACCTGACGACAACTCCAAGATGCACCCAGTATCTTTCGCAAGTCGACGCAGTGGGCGGTCCCACTACCTGCATATCATGCGAAGTTGATCTCAAGATGATTTAACATTGCTTGAAGAGGCCCTGACAAGGGTCCGCAGCGACAGGACGGCGCGCGCATCGCCTGAAGATGGCATCAAGACGGCCCCACCTCAGCAGGAGTCCATGAATTTATGAATTCCAGCTTGTGCCCAGCCGACCCCAAGGCAGTGTGATCCCTCAAGGGACCCGAATTTTGGTTTACCCTATCTTCCAATGGGTGGGAATGTGACCTGGCTGAATCAAACTCAGAATATTAAGAGGAGCCAAGCTCGGCGGGATCCCGCCGGACCCAGGAAAGAAGACTACCTTGCTAGGCTTCCACACGGGCAAGGGGTTCGGAAGGCGCACTGTTGCTGCCACCGGCTTCCGCCGCCCTCGCAATACTTCTGCCGTCTTCCGCGCGGCGAGCGCCATCATCACATGCAAGGAGCCTTCCATCTGGGCCGACGTATGTGGAACGGTCCAGGTTGTGCAATAGTTGTTGTGCAATCGATATTGTGCAATCTAGACTGTGCAAAATATGTGGTGCGAAACGCGAGGAACAACAGATGGTGTACAGCCTATCATGGGGAACCCATGTTCTGCAAATTGTATTGTGCAGTATACGTGGTGCAACATTTTGTGCAATGAATGTTGTGCAATATGTATAGTGCGATCTATGTGGTGCAGCCGATGCGAAGCAATCAAGGTTGTGCAATACGTGTTGAGCAACATCTGGTGTGGAGTCTATGTAGTGAGATATACATTGTGCAATATATGTGGTGCAATACATGTTGTACAATCTACGCAGCACAATCTACGTTCTGCAGCCTATTTTGTACAATCTGTACGATACAAGACAAACCAATCCAAGACACAGCAATGCATAGCAATGTCAAGACATGCATCTCACACATCATGACGAGGCTGCCACGGGGCGGCGACGGCGACGACATGGATGCCAGAGCGGCATACTGGCACAGGCGACGGACGGTGGCGATGTGGCCACGGGGCGTCGACAGCGACTGCACAGCCGCCAGAGCGGCACACCGGCCCGCACGACGGGCGGCGACCAGGCGGCCACGGGCCGGCGAGCGACGGCGACTACCCACCCGCCGGAGCGGCACACCGGCCCAGACGACGGGCGGCGACGAGGCGGCTATTGGGTGGCGGCGGCGACTACGTAGCTGCCAGAGCGGCACACCAGCCCGATTCCTTATCCCAGAGGTAGGAGCCCGTAAGCGCAACCGCTGCTAGGTGAATCTTGAGAATGCGCGCGGGAGAAGCAGCCGAGGAGAACGAGTTGGTAGGAAGTTGACCCTGCATCCTGGGAGGAGTACGCCGATGCCAACGCGGAGCTGTTGGGGGTGAGGAAGGTGGAGCAGAAGGCGGCGGCCATGGCGGCGAGAGAGGCGGGCGGGTGCGGCTCTGGGTGGCTAGAGAGCGGTCCGATCCCTCATTGGACTCATTCTCCTTCTCGTCAGGCTCCACTCTGTTCTTGCCGCCCCTGTCGTATAGGGATCTCGGCGCCGCGTGGATGTATCCAGTAGTGGCGACAGCCGATGTTTTGCATACGTTTCGACCCTGCCTTCAGGACCTCGGAAATGCTGGGTTTTCTCGATCTGGCGCAAAAGGACTGAGGCACTGGGGAGAGCGACGCCTGCAAAGAATCCGAACACACACGTGGATCCTTGGCGAGGCATCTGGGATAATTGCGTAGTGCTTTGGATTGGCGCAGACCTTCTGCAAGCTCCTCAGTGCTTTCATGGTAGTTCCTCTTTGTGGGCGCAGTCGTGGAAATCAAGAGACTGCCGTGGTCGAGACGGTGTGGCTGTCAGCGCAGGAGCATGAGGAGGGTCGGGGGAGCAGATGCGATATGTTTCGTTTTGCAGTACAGGCAGAACGAAAACATAGCGAAGGACAGCGAAAACAATACGAACACGACCAACACTTTTAGCTCGAGCCCTGTGACATCAATGTTGCGACGGGAAAGAGCTTGAGAAGCAGGAGGGGGCGCACGATGAGGAGCGCGAGGCGCAGGAGAACGAGGAGACGGCGGAGGGCGAGTGTGATGACGATCGGAGGAGGAGGAGGGGGAGGAGGAGGAGGAGGAGGAAGGAGGAGGAGGAGGAGGAGGAGAGGAGGAGAGGAGGGGAGAGGAGGAGGAAGAGGAGGAGGAGGAGGAGGCAGGAAGGAGGAGGAGAGGAAGGAGGAGGAGGAGGAGGAGGAGGAGGAGGAATAGGGCGGAGGAGGAGGAGGAGGAGGAGGAGTAGGAGGAGGAAGAGGGAGGAGGAGGAGGAGGAGGAGGAGGAGGAGGAGGAGGAGGTTGAGGAGGAGGAGGAGGAGGAGGAGGAGGAGATGGAGGAGGAGGAGGAAGAGTAGGAGGAGGAGGGGGAGGAGGAGGACCAGTGTAACCGCAAGAGTCATCAACGATGTTAACTTAACCCTGACCCGTTCCTCCAGGAGCGTGCCAGAACGCTTTTTTGGGGGACTTCAACACCGCGACTCAGCATAATTGTTGCACCCGGATAATCCTGAATCCTTCCAGGGCGCCGTTGTTGGTGCGTTGACCATGTGCACCCGCGAAAAAAACCCTTCTGAATCTTTGAAACGACTGCGCGCGGCGCTGAGGCGAAATCCACCTTTTGAGACCGCGCCGCCCGCAGGCCGTGACACTGTTGAGACTCTCCCGACTTGGCCCCGCACTGCGCGGGGCCAAGTCGGGAGACACATTTTGAACACGACCCGTCCTCAATCCGAAAGGCCCTTGATACCATTCAAAACGAATGTGCGCGGCGCTGAGGCGAGAACCACGTCTTGAGAGCCACCCGCCCTCAATCCGTGAAGCCCTTGCAGGGTTTCAAAACTGATGTGCGCGGCGCTAAGGCGAGAGCCACATCTTGAAAGCCACCCGCCCTCAATCCGTGAAACTCTTGCAAAGTTTCACAACTGATGTGCGCGGCGCTAAGGCGAGAACCACATCTTGAACACCACCCGCCTTCAATCCGTGACGCTCTTACAACTGTTCAGAACGAATGTGGGCGGGGCTAAGGCGAGAGCCACATTTTGAAAACGACCCGCCCTCAATCAGTGAAGCTCTTGCAGTTTGTCAAAACGGATGTGCGCAGCGCTAAGGCGAGATCCACATTTTGAAAGCCACCCGCCCTCAATCCGTGGCGCTGTTGCCACTTTTCAAGCTTCAGAGTCATAGATGGTGAGGAAGTCCCAGGAGAAACGCCTGGCCCGCCCTCAAACGTTGCCTCGGGGTGCGACAGGGAGAACTTATTCAGAAGGAAAAAGATTTGATGGCCAGGATGAGGAGGAGGAGGACTTTCAATAAGGAGAATCACGAGAATGCGAATACAAATGATATTATTAACCAGAATAAGAAACAGGTAAAGAGGATGAGGTGGCGGAGGAGGATGAAAAGGAGGAGTAGAAGGAACTGGAGGAGGATAGTGAGGAGAAAGCAGAGGAGGAGGAGGAGGAGGAGGAGGAGGATGACGAGGAGGAGGAGGAAGAGGATGATGATGAGGAGGATGAGGATCAGGAGGAGGATAGGAGGAGGAGGAGGAGGAGGAGGAGGAGGAGGCCGAGGAGGAGGAGAGGAGGAGGAGGAAGAGGAGGAGGAGGAGGAGGAGAGGAGGGGGCGGAGGAGGAGCAGGAGAGGAGGATGAGGAGGAGGAGGGGGATGCGGAGGAGGATGCGGAGGCGGAGGAAGAGGAGGAGGAGGAGGAGGAGGAGGAGGAGGCGGAGGGGGAGGAGGAGGAGGGAGAAGAGGAGGAGGAGGAGGAGGAGGAAGAGGGCGGAGGAGGAGGAGCTGGCTGCTCAAAGAGCGCATTGGCATAGGTCATGCCAACCGAGCGTACTCCGCCACACCAAGCGCGCGCGGGCCCGCGATGGAGATACAAGGTTCTCTTGGGCAGAGGCGACATCGCGTTCGTCCCGGAGATGGCTCGTTGGGGGTGAGATTACTACGCGTGGTATGCTACAGCCCGTGCGCGTGAAAATCGATATCAAGAATGGTTGGTACAATACATGAATTACACATTCGTGATGTTTTCGCATTCGTAGGTGCATATAAGCGTCGCACGGACCAGCGGCGGGAGGAGAGCAAGCATGTTGAAGCATATTGGTGTCTGGAGCATGGATATGGGAAGGGAGGGCTTACCAATGCAAATTGTGGGGCGGGCTTCATGTTTCGCAGCAGCAGGTTCAAGAAGAGTCAGCTTCGGAGGATCGTACCTGTCCCTCCGCAGCTTTGGGGCAACGCAGCAGCAGTTCTTGTTGCTTGTTGCGTACGTGCCTCCTGGCAGAACGGTGAGGAGGGTAGAGCAGCATACGGCAAGACGCTGAAGGCCATCGGCGGGTGGATAGGTAGCACGCTGCAAATATCTTCGTCTCGCAGTGCCACACCTATCATATGTGCAGGCATGGGCGGAGGGCTCCCGCACACTGGAAACTATTACGCTGGGGGGCCACCGTCGAGAGGAACACCTACCGCATCAACAGTAACTCTGGGGCCTTTTTTTTGTCTCCTCTGCGTGATGGAATATGTCCAGCGCCAACCCGCACTTCACCAATCCTGGCGCATATGTTGGGCTGCGCGGTGAGTGACTTATGTGCCACATTTTGATACGTAGAATGGCGATGGGAGCAGTGGAACGTTGCCATGTGCTTGTGGGACGAGGTCGCAGGTTACAGCTACACAACATGGTGTCGGCCCGATAGCATCGTCCAATAATACACCGCCCAAGCAATATGTTTTACAATCTGTACGCCCCAACAGAGAATCCATGTGTCGCTGTGTGCAGGAAGGCTTCAGGCGGCAGGGTTTTTTTTTATACGCGGGTAAAACATGCGCATGCGACCGACGTCGAGGTTGAGAGTTATAGCAAATGAGGACATCGATGGGCTGAGCAGACTAATCATCAGAATTGTGGATGAGAGCTTTCTGGGTTTTCCCAGCAGCCCATTAGAAACGTCAGAACGGACAGCGGACGCGGCTAAACTTAGGAAGCTGTTATTTGAACGGCGTCAGATACGGCAGCAGGGGCGAGAATATTTGGATGCGCACGCGTTCGGCGATATCTGCAAGCAGGATACAGTTTCTTGGGCAGAGATTGAAGCAGGCACGCCGTGGGATATTGGAAGGGGTCGAACGACAGGAAATTACCCTAGCTGAAGGATGCGCCTTCCGCGCGGGATGGGTGCCAGGTTCACAGCTTGGCACGTCTTATCGCTGGAAAAAGGCGCGGCCCCAGGCAAGGGCGACGTGCTGCGGTGCCAGGGCCATCGACGACTGCGGCGCACTGGGCGTTGCGCACGCAGCTGCAGGCAACGCGCGGAGGGCGCTCAGCGATACCATTCACGTTGGAAGGGGTCCAGGCAGAGGTTCAAGCGGAGCAGCGGCCACGGCGCGAGAGAACGGGGGCGACCTACATGGCGGCAGAGGGTTGTGGGCAACATGCAGGCCGCGCCATGGAGGTTCAAGTTTTGGCGCGCGTGGCCGTCGCGGAGTGCGCCGCTGGAAGGTTTGCGTTTTTTTTCCCTTCTCCAAAGCGTATCAATGAATGGGGAAATTGACTAGCTGCTGGCGTAGGCTTCGCGCGAGAGTTTGTTGAGCCAAGTGAGGCACTGGTTCTTCTAGGAAGGCCGTTGGTCGAGCGCAGGCGTCTCGGAGGCGAACGCTTGCGCAGTGGCGCGCGGCGCGGGCCGCGGGGCTTTCCAGGGGGAATCGCGCGTTGGATTGTGCGGGGGGGGGGGGGGGGGTCAGAATGTCACGTGCGCGCGGGGGTGGAGGGGGGGGGGTGGGGGGGCAGTTAAATGGGGCCGCCATGCGGCGCGAATCTCGTAAGTGGAGGTCGCCGGATTGGATGTGTGGAGGGTTGCGGGGGAGGGCGAGGGGGAATGCGATGGGGTCTAGCTAATTTCGTCTTGGAGGCTGCGTCATGCAGGCATCAGCCACCTGCTTCGCTGCCGCGACGCCGTCAACGCCTTCTTCTCGCTAGGGCGCCAGAGCGTGCTGCAGGTAGCTTGCAAGGTTTATGATGGCCAGGTCGACCAGGAGTTTTACGTCGACCGCATCACTCGCGGGTTGTTTGTGATATGTACAGTTTTGGATGCGTCTGGGAGGAGATTTGTGTCCAGGGGGCAGAGGAGCTACCCGACTGTTTGAACGCGTGTTGAGTGAGCCGCCGTTGAAGGAGATGCGCAATCAGGCAGTGGTTGGTGGCCGGTGCATATCAGCAGGAATATCCGCGCCTTGGGGTGAGGGGGG